TTTTTTTTTTCAAAGAGTTATTATATACTGAAAAGCAATTTTTTCTTTAAGCATATATATATTTCCCTCACATATATATATTGAGCAAAGAGAACAAAAAAGATAATGAAGCATTTTTTACGTACCTTCAAATAGACCAGTGATTTGTCGTGTAAACCCAAGGAAAAAAAAATTTTAACACTAATTTTGGTAAGATAATAGAATTATATCAAAATTTAGTGTATAAAACTAGTTTGAAAAAAACAGTGGTAATTTAGAAAACAGCAGCTAGACATATATAACGAGACTAGCGAGAAAAACAGATTAAAGATGAGTTGTTGTAATAATGCAGTTCACAAGACTCGCCCAGCTAAGCTCAACTTGCAGTCAGTTAGATCAATATTTTTCAGCAGCGTGTTTCAAGGCATTTTTCAAGTCGGATACTGGGCCGCACTGCTTCTTGCTTACCACTTCGCCCTTAACACCTTTCCTGCAGCACTAGTACATATTTATATACATGCATATGCATACACCAGTATGCACTATACGAAAATCTCAGTGGCAAAAATTTTTTAAATAGTTCACAACTACAGTACAGAACAAAACAATATGCCCAATGATTAAGCATGATTAGTTCCGCTTTTGATGGTGTTCTTCCTTGAAATGATCAAAACTTCCTAATTTTCTCAAAATGTAACACTGTAAACGAAATTGAAGAATAAGTTAACAACAGCTTCCTCTCCTCCCCCCTCCCTCACCAGTTTCCAAAAAAAAGCATGTATACATATACATGTATATTTATTTATTTCCTGTTACATGAAATGATTGAGTAGATAAAATTTAACTGTTACACAAAAGAATTAGTAATATGCTCAAACGGTACACAACAGGAGTAAGTCGGCAGAACAAAAAATAGGCTCCTTGCTCTACAAAGTAATCTCTCCATCAGACCACACAATGTAGCCTTTCCTGCACCAAATATGCTGAGCACTCTAGCCCGCCTTCCGCAGTCTTACTTCATCCGTTTTCCAAACCAAGCCCTAATCATTTAATGATCTTTCGATATCCGACCATAACATCTCACAACAATTTTTCGTCCAGGCTGAAGTCACCTTTCTGAAACAGCCACAATAGCATCGTCGTTATTTTTTTTTTTTTCAAAACTAACTTTGAGTAGACCAAACCCGACAAAGGGAACGTTTAATGCCGCTTCCCTCCCTAACAGTCGAACGGGCGACCCCGTAGCCCAAAGTAAAATTTCATAAGACATCCCAATAACTATTTTATCTCGGTCCGCCCCAACTCCAAATCTTCATCCACAACCCCAGCAACCCGCAATAAGCAAAAAAGTCTAATAACCCACACTGCATTCCCACGGTTGAACCCCTAATTACACTCATCGTTACTTCCATCCTGACAATCAGCAATTCCTTGGAAAAAAAAAAAAGGAAAATTTGCGAAGCACTCCACACGTGTGCGCCAGTAAACTAGCCATTCAACTTAATAAAAAATCTCAAAAATTTTTCCTTTGCAGTTAAAACAATGAAAGCCACAGTTAACTGTTTAACATTACCAGTCATCATAGCGTAATTTAAAAAAATTCAAGAAATAACTTTTTAATTCACAACAATAAGAAAACCATGTGGATTTCAAACATTGCCAGAAACTACAATCAATTAAAAAAGGAACCGAAATTTCCAACAAACAAATCGGAAAAACAGATCGCTTCGTGGCGCAAGCAGATAAGTGTACAGATCAAAATTAGATGCAATTCAGAGTAACAGTCATGTGTAAAAAACGTACGAATGGTTGGTCAACTCTACCGCTTTTCTAATCTAACGTAACTCTGTAGTAAAAACCGAACAATAAAAGTTTAAAACAACACTGTACAATAACTGAATAATAAAACAGCATGCTCTCATACAAGATCTGAAACGTCAATCTGAGGATGCTTTCCTTTTTTCATATAGGCATCGAGCTCCTTATCAAGATCTTCATGAGTTACTGGCTCTCTCTTGAACCTATTCGAGTTAAAATTACCTCGATTCCTTACCCCTCGACCTCGACCAGAACTCTGGCTTCGTAAAGATTTGGAAGCGCCAACATAAAAATTTTTACTAAACCGGTTATTTTGAACATTAGCACCTGCGCCAATCGGTCGAAAGACTCTAGGCCTTGGTCTGAAAAATAATTAACTACCACAACCAAAGAACAAGTAATACCTTTGAAAAAGCAACTGAAAAATCATGTTCTAACTTAACTTAACAGCATTAAAAGAATTGCCGAAATATGCCAAAATAATTATTCTGAAAAATTTAAAGCAAGCTGTCCTCTCATGATTAAAGCTTTTGTCTCAAGTCAATCTCCATGCCAACTAGCTGATGAGAAAATAAAAAGATCCCAAGTCTTATTTAAATACATCATTTCGGTTTTAAAAATGAGCTGTCTCTACTTATCGCTAACTGCCTAGGAGGCTTGAAGCAATGGTATTCGCAAATGAATGCCAGTCCTTTCCTCATTCTAGACATATTAATGTTAAGCCACCTTAACAGTAACAGCAATACACTAAAAAATGCTGACGACTGAAAAAAAAAACGGAAAATTTTCTACCGAAGTTAAAAACAAAGCGATAAACTCGATACTTTAAAAAGAAGGCTCTTCTGTTTATCCCCCTCGAAGCTGGAAAATAGGTTCCATTTTGCCGACGAGCAGGGAAATTAACTCGATTACGCAGCGATAATGGCAAATGCACAAAACGCTGTCGCGGACGAACCAAACGGTATCTCATCGGATAGTCGTCTATGACTTCATCGCCATAAACATAATCATTCTGTAAGGATTTATCACTGCAACAGGTAAGAAACAATTTTAATTAACAAGAGTGACATCATTCCTGTATTTTGAAAAGCCTTCTAGAAATGACGACAAGCTGCCATGGATTAAGAAGCACCAAAATTATTCAAAAACTTAAAATTACCTACCAAAAGTTAAAAAAAAATAAAAGGGAAAAACAAATAATGCAGCATAATTGTAATGTTAACGTCTATAATAATAAAAAATAAGAAGTGAAACATACACTATCGACAACCATAACCGCTTTTGGGTCTTCCCGGTAGTCATGCTCTACATTACGAAAAGAATTTATCTGCTTCCGCACAGGCGCTGCACGAGCAGCATGTGAGATCTTTGAAAACCTGCAACTACAGCATTTCAATCCTTCACTCTTGTAAAGTTGCAATTGTTATATATGATTTTAATATGCTATAAAAATATAAGCAAAAAAAAAAAGTAGGCTGCATAAAAAATATTAGAAATCCCAAAATACATAATCTTTAGTAATTAAATTCGAAAACCGTATAGCACATTCATGCTGTTATAGTAAGTCCAACACTTATGTCTCACATAGCCAACTTGACATTCTAAATAAAAATAAGAGGATTATTAGACATATTTAAACTAGCCTTTCATGTAATGAAATTTTCGACGTTCCCATCAGAACAATCCTTGCTGGTACTGTGTCCATATTCCCAACTGCAATATATCTTTTTCTAATATCAAAATCATGAGAAGCTACCAAAGTTCGACAGCAGTGAACCACACAAACCAAATGCAGTCTCTTGTCGTCATAATCAGTTATAACAGAGTCACTGACAAAAGATTCAAGGCAACAAATCTTCACTAACACTCACTCTACAGATTCGAAAACTACTTAAAAGAGCTGCTTAGAGTGTAGCTCAAATTGCCATACCAAATACAGAATTGACTTTACGCACATAAACATTAAATTCAGATGAACCGCTACCAAAACTAATACTAACAAGCTTGATTCCTATTCTATCTAAAAACTAACTAGTCGGCCAAAAAGAATAATCCCTAATTCTAAACTTTTGATATACCAAACCTGTACAGTCAGAAAAATTTGGCAAAAAAATCAATTTGGCCTGAATGAGTGTTGCGAGTAGCTTATATAAGTGCACTCTGATCAGTGACAACAACAGAAGTCAACTCACAAGCCTTAATCGCTAAAGTCGCCTCATTGCACCTGCGCTAAATCAACCAAGTGGGTCATTTGTCCGTTATTCTTCAAAAACATACATACATGAATATTTGAAATAAAATTCAAAGCACTGGGAGAGCAAGAAAAGTTTGGATGCATGGAGTAATAAAACAAAAAAAACCAGCAACAAATTTTCAAAACTCTCTAGTCGGTGAATGATGACCGTTGTCATTAAAACCATGAGAACTACTGTATGACGCATTTACGACAAAACAGAAAACTGTTGCCTAAAGCAAAAGGGAGCTCATCTAAAAGTTTCTTCTAACTAGCCCTGTGATTTTTAACATCTGAAAAGAGATCCTTTTTGTTTCTCCTTTGAAATTAGCTGTAGCTGCTTGACACCGCTCAAAAATGACTAAACTTTCGACACGGCCGACAAGTTTCCATTTTTTACCATATGCAGTCATTGCAGCTCACCTGTTCAGTTATATGAATCTTCTATACCTAATCGTTGAACAGACCGCTAATTGCACGGCATTCATGGTGCTCAGACAAGTAAAACGTAGTTAGAAGAATGTTTTTTTGTTAAACTTCTGCGAAACAAAATAATGTAAATTCTAAAACGGTATTTTTCCAACGAACTTCGTTGTCGTACTTTTTACTATACTTCTTAAATGCACTCCTTCACCAAAAAACTTTAAATATTTCAAAATAAAACATTTTGGATTACAGCCCACAAAAATTTTTGCCGGACTTTTGTGTTCCAGGCACCATTTTAAACATTTCCAAATTTAACTTTTACCGCCATCAGAAGGTGACAGGGTTACCTTGAAAAAAACAGAGAGAGATTAAGCGGTGAGGTACGGATAGGGTTACTTCAAGCCATGACCGTTTTGCTCTTCCATTAACTATAGAAAACGTTCACCTTCCAAGTCCAAAAAAAAAAGAGAAGAGTTTCAAAGTGCTAAAAGAAAGGGAAGTAAAAGCAGCAATTACTTGTCTTTATCATCAGATAGAGTCACAGTGGATTTTTCGAGCCCTCGCGGTTGGATTCCTTTATTAAAACAAGCCTCCGCTCTCCTTACTGCTTCATAGTGACAAAAATAATAATACTTATACTAACACTAATAATAATAATAATAATAA